AAAAATTAACCCGGTTGATTCGGTACAAGTTAAAAAATTCAAAAATTTAGGGTGAGGTTATATAAGTAATTAATTGGAGGAGTGTATAAATATAAGAATTAAAAAAATTTTTATAATGTGCATTAGTCTATATTTTTCAGGAACTAAACCGGAAATGATAACGTTTAAAATAATAAATTTCTAGTGAGCTGTTTCTATAAGAATTATGTAACTTTATAATGAACTACTTAAAAAATATTTTTTTACAAAATTATTTAAAGAAGGAAAACCTAAAATTTAATGATAAAAAAATGAACATTTAATTCTCAATTTTTTGTTTGTTTAAACAAATAAATGTATGTTTAAGTATTAATTGTTGAACGATAGAAAAATAAATATATTTATTAAATAGTTTAAATTTATTAAAATAAATTGAAATATAGGCTAAATTTAACAAGAAAAAATATTTAGAAATTTATAAAAAATTAAAAATACAAACTGGCATTTAGAACAGAATTTTATATTTTTTGAAATATTATTTTTTAATTTGATCTGACAAAAATTTTTTTTAATTCTTGAAAATGCTTAATTTAAAAATTTTAACCAAGTTTAGAATAAATTTAATAAAATTTTTTTCCAAATTAATCATTATCTATAAATTAATATTTTAAAAAAGCCAACAAATTATTTTAGCTAAAAACTAATAAAAAAGTTTGAAAGAAATTCTTTTTATTAAAATATTCTTTTTAGCCATTTTTCGTGTGACGCGATTTTTCGTAAATAACACAGGAAATGCTGTTAAAGAATGGTCGCTTTGATCGACATTTAAATATAAAATAAAGTTTTTTTTATTAAAATTATATTTACGTAAATAAATATATTTAATATTTTTATTTATTTTTAAATATTTCTTTTCAAATAAAATTGAAAAGAAATTTTAGTTTTATGACAAATTGTTATAATTTAGACTTTTTATTAGGGTAACAACCCCGACGGATTTTTTGGCAAAAACCCCGACCCGAATCCCAAAGGTTCTACCACGATTTATTCTTACATATTTATGACAGCCCCAAACCCCCAAACAACGTCCCAAAATTTCCGAATTATTTATGGTTGATCAAATTAATTTCTAGTTAATTAAATTATTTTTTAAATTTTATATCCAAAATTGACCGACCCCGAAGGATCGGATTGCTACACTACTTTTTATTTATTTTTAAATTTTATTTCATTGGAGTTACAACAACAGTTCCAGATATAGAATAAATAATTTAGTGAACTGACAGCCCGTTTTGAGTGCCGATTTTAACTAAAATCCCTGCCGAATCTTAACATAATTTCTGAATTATTTTTGGATTAATCAAATTAATTTTTAATTAATTAAATTATTTTTTAAATTCTATATCAGAAATTGTCATTACTGCCATGTTATTTCCTTATACCAAAACACTAGTTTTTTGTTTCTCCTTACTCATAATAATTAAATAATTAATTATCAACTAATTTATTTAAATCTTTAAATAAACAAATTTTGGTTAATCAACTAATTATTATTTTTTAGAAAAGAAAAGGATGCGCAAAAAGTTAAAAAAATGAATGTTTATTAATACATATAATAATTAATTATATTTACTTTTCTAAAAAAGAAGAAATAAAGAGAGGATTATCGCCTCCGATATTTATATTTATTTATTTTGGCAAAAATATTTATTTATATAAAAATACCTAACTGGAAATAAAGTTAATAATAATGATTTTATCTAGAAAAAAATTAAATATATATGTATACAAGTTTTTGAAGTTAAAATAATTTTTAAAAAATAATTAAAAATATAAATTAAATTTAAATTGATTTAAACACGTCTCTAAATTTAAATGACAAGTAGTCTTCTAAAACCTACATTTTCTATTTATTTTAAATTTCCTTTCGCCAAATAATCACAAAAATTGTTAGACAAACAAACAATTGCGCGAGAATAAAAAGAATAAAATATCTGTCTCTATTATTAAACATTTAATTCGGTGAATTATGACCCATGTCCCTAAATATATATTCAATTAAATTGTAAACAATAAATTTATTTAGAAAATAAAAAGGAATTATGTATAAAAGAGAGATAAATAATTTAAAAATTAAATAAAATTAAATAATTGACACGGAAATTGTTGAGATCATATATGAGATATTGAGATCATATAATTTTAAATGCTAGAGATACAAAATGGGTTTAATAATAGTAAAAAATATAAGTGAGAAAAAAAATTATAGAAAAATAAAAATTGTCCTAAACTTTTATGGTCAATAAACTAGTAACTTTTTAATTTAATTGAAAATTTAAATAAGGAAGGATAATTTATAAAAACCTTTCACCTCTTCCTTGATAATTTAGAAATTCTAAATTTATTTCTGGAGAGAGAGGTGTTAAAAATGATAAAAAATGAAAATAAAATTTAAAAATAATTTTAAAAATAAATGTGCACATAGAAAGAGGAGAAATGAGTAGGAAACGCTAAAATAACAAATTTGATAGATTCGTTGAAAAAAATGGTGAAAGTTATAAATGACGATTAATATTTTTGCGCGTAACTTTTCTCGTTGTTTTTAATATAAATTTTAAAAATAAAATTTTGAAAAACAATAAATAGTAATTTGCCAATTTTGTATTAAAATATTAGAAAAGCAATGTATTAATTATAATTTATAATGATTACAATTACGATGGTCGTAACGGGATTGTCGATTGAATTGAGAACTTTTAGGGAAAAGAGAATTTAAAAAATGATTATTTTATCTCAAAATATAAAATAATAAACTTAAAAAGTTTGTATATGTATGAAAAATAATATTTTATTGTTTTTATTAAATTTAAAGATTTTTATTTTCTCATCACCATTGTCTGATCAAAAACCATCCTGTACATTTTTTTATATTAATTACAATTAATAATAAACTTATAATATTTTTAATTTTAATTTCCTTTCATTATTTAATTAAAGAAAATATTTAATAACTCAAAATTCGTTTAATAATTTAACAAAAATTGTGTCAAAAATATTTGCGCAATGTGAAAATAAAAGTTTTAAGTGAATGCTTACAAAAATAGAGAGTGGGAATGGAATGACTTGTTTTTTTTCAAAAATTATTTTCTAATAAATTTGGAACAGAAAAAAATATTTTTATAAATAAATTTTGAATATAAATATTTATTTTATTTTGTAAATGTTAAAAGTTTTGCATGTCAAGTAGGGATTTAAAATGAGAGAGACAATTAAATAAATATTTAAAATATTATTTTTTAATAACGTTGCAAATAAAAATGATTTTTTTTAATAAAAATATAAATATTTTAATGTAGTAAAAAATTTATATTATCATTAAAATTATTGATCGACAAATGTTCTATTAATTTGGAGAATTGTAAAATAAGTAAATAATTATTCGATAAAATATTTTTTAAAAACATTTTTTAATTCAGAACATTTTTTCTGGAATTAATAAATTTACTTTTCTAAAAAAATATATTTTTAGGTACATAATAGAAAATTAAAAAAAATTATCCAAAAAATTACCTGAGCAATTTAAGGAGAAACAATTCAAATTTGTTAATAATAATTGACTAAATTTTTTATTTTCTTTTTATTTTTGGCAATTTTATGGATTAAAAGGTGACGTTTTTAAAGAAAAAATTTAAAAATAAAAATATGTATCCAAAAATAAATATTTTTTTATTTTAAAAACAATAACAAGCAAACTTTTCTTTAAAATGAAAAATTTTTTTACGAATTATTTTTGGACAATTCCTTAAATGAAGAAATATTAATCTAAATTTTGAACCAAAAATTAATAAATTAAATATTTATTTTTATAATATACAATGTAAATGTCCCTATAAATATTTATTTATTTATATTATTTAAATATATTTTCTTTTCTGTTTTCTTACGTAATTATTAAATAAAAAGAATCATTCGACTAAAACACAAAAATTAATATTTAATTTTAGCAAAAAATAAATAAACAATGAGAAAATTAATTTTTATATATTTATTATCGTCAAAACAAAAATGTCAAAAAAACTTTTTTTAGAATTTGTTAATGTTTAAAGATTAAAAATAAATAAAGAAAGGTATTCTTTTATTAATAAATGGCAACAATAGGAAAATTTAAATTTTATTTATTTCCATAAATTTAAGTTAAAAAAATTTTATGCAAAATTCTTAATTAAAAAAAGAGATATTAGCAAAAGAATTATTGTCAAAAAATATTTTTATTTATTATAAAATATATTGGAAACAAAATATTAAAACTTTAATTTATTTCGTTTAGTTAAATTAATAATTGTAAAGCATCATAACTATTTAATTACTAAAGCTACATATGCAGTACATAGACGGCTAGGTCCCAGCCGCCGAAAAACCTTTTTGCTCTAGCTTAAGGAGAGAAATATCAGTCCATCTATGCTTTACTTAATTTAAAAAATTATTTTTTATTCGAAAAAATGTGTTAATAAAAAATATATTGAGTTAAGCAAATAGTTAAATAGAGGATTGTACATTTAGTCTAAATGTATTAATATTATATCTATTTTTTAATTATCTATTTTATAGAAGCATTAAAGGATTTAGCAAAAACTTGAAAGAAAAAATAAATCTTTAATATTTTCATAGTTATTAATTTTTGGTGTCGCTTCTTAATGTTGTTTGTCTTGAGCGTGAACCCTAAAAAATAATTAAAATATTAAAATTGAAATAAAATTAGAATATGTAAAAAACAAAACAATTAAAAGCAGAAAAACCAAAAAAATATTTTTAAATTATTCAGATAAAATTAGAAAAAAAATAATTTAATATATAAAAAACCACTACCAAACTACACAAAAAAATTCGTAAACACAACAAAATAAATAGGGAAAGAAATTTATATTTTATTGTTTATATCAAAAAAAATTATTTCTAAAAATTTTTTGAAATAAAAATTTCTTCCCCTAAATTACTTTATTTCATATATTTTTACTGCAATTTTAAGGATCATCATTATCGGCAACAACCCCATTCCCATTACGTCCATTTAATGAAAGGAGAAGGCTGTTTGCCTGCACAACAGATTTTTATATTTAATTTTAAATTATTTTTATTTAAAAATCCCTAAGCTTTTTTAATTGAGGATGGATTAAAAAATAAAAAAATTTACCTCTGTCAATGGGGCTGGATCTCCACAATAAGGCAATGGACGTCCATCTGGACCAGGTGGACAAGGAGCGTCAAGTCCTGGCAAACCCTTTAAAAATGTTTTTGAAATTAATTTTTATTTGAAATAAATTTTGAAATTAATTTAAAAAAACATTCACAATAACGAAAATAAATTTTTGTATTTTTATAAAGTTAAATTTAATACAAAATAAAATTTAAAAATATTAAACAATTTATTTCCCACCTGATCTCCTTTAGGTCCACGATCTCCCTTTGCACCAGTCATTCCAGGTAAACCCATTGGGCCTACATCGCCTTTGGAACCTGGAATTCCCTAAAAAGTTTTTAAGTAATTTATATATTTTTTTAAATTTTTTCTTCATAAATTTAAATCATTTAAAAAAGAAAGAAAAGAGAAGAAAAGAGAAGAAAGAACAAAAAAAGAGGAAAATTTAACACAAAAAATCCTTACGGGAGAGCCAACAATTCCAGGCGGTCCTCGCAAGCCCATAGGACCAGGAGACCCTGGCAGACCAATAGTGCCTTGAGGGCCTGTTTTACCTGTAGGGCCTGGAAGGCCAGGAGGACCGGGAAGTCCCGGCGGCCCCTGAAAATGAATAAAATTTAAAAAAAATAATTTTAAAATAATTTCCAAAATAATATTAATCTAAACTATTATATATATATAATCAGTTACTCTAGCGCCTTGTTTAGTATTAGCATTTGGACCAGTAAAAACTGTTGGAAATGAGGGAGGTGCCTTAAATTATCATTTAAATATTTTCTAAATTTCTAATTTACAGGCTGTCCAGGCAATCCAGGAAGTCCAATTTCCCCTCTCTCTCCTTTTTCACCTCCAGGGCCAGGCAATCCACGAGGACCTGGAGGACCTTGCACAACTTTAGAAAATCGAAGGTGTGCCTTTAATTTAAACAAAATAAATTATTAATTTATTTTTTTCCTTCAAAAATCACCTCAAAATGCGAACTAATATTTTTAAATATTTTTTCTTGTAAAATAGGCAATAATTTCTCTGCTTGTTGAATTGAATTAATAGTAAATTGTTGTAAATCTTCTGATATTTTAGAAAATGTTTGTTTCTTTTGTTTATTTATATTTTGACGATTCTGGTGGAAATTCTGGAATTTAAATTAGAAAAAACACTGACAGAAACACACAAAAATTAGACAGATAAAAACAAATTAGTGTCAGAATTAATTTTGGAAGAAGAAAAGGAAAAAGAAAGGGAAAAATATTTTTTAATTAAATTATTAAAAAAATATTTTTTTTAAATTTTTACCTTTTTTCCTTTTTTGCCAATACTTCCTGTATCACCCTTTAAAATATTTTTATGTAATAAAAATTTTATTTTATTCAAAACCTTTTCGCCTTTAACTCCAGGCGGTCCTGGAGGGCCAGGTGGACCTTGAATAATTGTTGTTTGTGATTTATGATCCATTCCAGGCAAAGGACGTGGCGCTTCCATTGCTGATTTTCCAGGCATTCCCGGTTCACCTTTCGCGCCCTAAAAATTTTAAAAATTAAAAAATTTTTTAAATTTAATATTTTTTAAAAATTATTTGTCAAAAGAAGTTGACAGGAAAGGTAAAAAGTAAACAAATGTTCTCACAGGTTTTCCTGGCTTTCCATCTTGACATTGACAATTCTCGTGATTATTTTGTTTTTGCCGATATTGTTTTTGTTTATTATCCTCTGAGTATTGGACTACTTGATCTCCCTTTAGAAAGAAAGGAACACAAATTCAAAAATAGAACAAAAAATACTTTAGGTCCAGGAAATCCTCTAGGCCCAACAAGTCCAGGCTGCCCATTACGGCCATCACGTCCAGGCAGCCCCATTGATCCCTTAAATAAATACAGACAATAAAAATATTAAAAAAACAAAACAGTAAAGAGAAATGGAAATTGAAATTTAAATATTTATTTAAAATTAATTCCTCCAAAACCTTTTCTCCTTTCTCTCCTCTAGGCCCAACATGTCCAGTTTTACCAGGTAGTCCAGGTTCGCCTTTAGGCCCTATTCTAGATTCTCCATCGAATCCAGGCAATCCACGCTCTCCTTTTTGTCCTGGTAATGAACGACCAGGTGGGCCGGGTAATCCAGGAGGACCTGGAGGTCCTTGAATTACTGCTGGAGGTGGGGAAAGCTGATGACCAGCAGAATTTGGTAGACTCTAAAAAATAAGGAGAATTTCTAAACTAATTTCTTAAATTTACTTGAACATATTTAACAGTTTCTTGAGGTATTGATGGTGCACATTGTTCGCCTTTATCGCCTTTTGGACCTGTCTTTCCTATTGGACCCTGAAACAATTTGGGATGTTTAATAAATAATTTATTAAAAATTACTCAGTAAAAATTATTATTTAATAAATATTTTCAATTCAACTATTACATTTTCCCTTATACAAATTTTAAAAAATATATTTGGTAAATTTACAGGTAATCCACGTGCTCCATCCAACCCAATTGGGCCCTTAAATTTCTTATTCAAACAGAAACATATGTTTATTTAAAATACCGGGAAGCCAGGATGTCCTCTAGCTCCCTTCTCTCCCTAAAAATTAATTTGGGAATTATATGTTGATTTCGAACAACAAACAAAACAAAGGAGAATATTACACAACAAAAACTATCACTCTTAAAATATTACACAACAATCAACAAATATTTTTAAAAAATTATTACTGGCGGGCCAGGCCTTCCAGGCAATCCTCGTAGATATATTCGACGTCCATCAGTTGAAAAAAGAAATCCAAAAGTTCGAATTTCACGGCCCAAAGCATCTTCAAATGGCTAAAACAAAACACAAATTAAACAAAAAATAAACAAATTTTTGATTAACAAGTGGTCTTATTCGTTGAGTTTTCCTTTTAAAAGTTGTTGGAATTGAAGGTGGTGAGGGTGATGAAAAAACCCGTCTCCAAGGCGAATCAGAAGTGGGAAAATAACGACAAGGAACAGTTTGGGGAAATAATGGAGAAGGAATTGAAGAAATTGGAAGTGAAGTTGATGGATAATGTGAACGACGATTTCTCTTTAATTATTTTATTTGAGAAAAAAAACATTTACAAAAATGCAAAAAAAAAATATTAAAGAAAACAAAAATAAAAAAAACTATAAAAAATATTAAACAAAAAAGCAAAAAAAATATTAAAGAAACAAAATATCAAAAAAGCAAAGAATAAAAAGCAAAAACTTACTTGAAGACCAGCATCACCTTTTACACCTTTTGAATTTAAAAAATAATTGTTTTTATTTTGCGATTTAATTTTTAAAAATAAATTATTTGAACATAATTTATATATTTTAATTAAAGATCGGTTTGGGGGAATCTCGTACGAGGAACGAGATATCTCGATAATATCGATAATCTCGATTATCCCGAAAAATCTCGTTAAATCTCTGAAAATCTTGATCTCGATAATCAAGATTTTCGTTCAAGACCTCGCCTCGTTCCGGTCTCTAATTTTAATAATACTACCCTGTGGACATATACAATTTGATTTTTCACGTTCACGTGGTGATCGTAGATTCCTTCGCTGCACAAATCTTTTATTTTCGTACAATCTTCTACTATTCTAAATTTATTTTTTAAATAAATTATTTTAAATATTTTCAAATTAATTAGTTACTATTTCCCCTCAGGCACAAAAATGCAAATTTTCTCATTCCAAATTTTATTTTATCTTAATTTTCATCAAAAAAAAAATAAATTTTAACCAATTATTTTCTTTCCCACTCTATAATTTAGGCATCACAAACCCTTTAATAAAAAGAAGCAGATGTTCTTTTCCCTTTTAAATATATCCCTATAAATTCCATCTCTATTTCATGGTTATACAATTTAATTTATTCATGTAAAACAGTTTAATTCAGAAAATAAATTTTGATGAATACCGCTCAGAAATTCAAAAAAAAAATAATTAAAGAAGAGAAGGAATTTACCCAAATTTGATTAATTTAAGTAAGAAAATAATTTTTACAAAAATAAAAAAATTAATATGTATCTAAGTGATTATCTAAGTGATATTTAAATTCAACTAAATTTATTTTTTTTAATTTCCTTAATTTTCAAAATTTCCCTTAATTTTTATTTTAATTAATATCTACAAAATTCCCCATCCATTTATTAAAAATAATTAGTTATAATAAATATCCGATTAATAAGAAAATTTGCATGTGCAAACACAAATCAAATCCCCTTCCTTCCTCTACTTTTTCATCCAATTTCCCCTCTCTAGGTTAATCCTTCTCTTATTTTTACAGCTTTTTTATTTATTTATTTGACACCTTTTTTTAATTTTTACCTCAAATCTAAGCTCTATTTTTGTTATTCTTTTTTGTAAAATTTCCATTTGAGAATTTTGTTTTAGCATTACAAATGTTAAAATTAAAAGGAAGAAGAAAGGCAAAGTTTGAATAATTAAATTTAAAAAATTATTTTTTGTTTTTCCTTTAATTCTTTTTGATGTTGTTAAATATTTCTAAAAATTAATTTTTAAAAAAATTTATAAAAATATTTTCCAAACTTGTTGAATTGGGAGATATAATTTGGAATTAAATTTTGGAGTTAATTTTGGTGATAAATATTTTTGAAAAAATAATTTATTTAAAAAAGAAGTCTGTGGTTGTGTTGATAAAGTAGAAGAAGAAGGGGATGATTGAGAGGTTGATGGTGATGGGGAGGGGGAATTAAAATTAAAAGTTTTTGTTGTAAAAGAGGAGTTTGTATTGATGTCCGAGTTATTATGGATAGGCTTAATATAGGAAATAAATAATTATTAATTTTTATTTAAAAAATAAAAAAGGAAAATCTAAACGGAAATATTTAATTATTTCTGTTAAGATTTTAAAAAATTATTTTTTATTTTTAAATTTACATTATTAGATGTACTAGCAACATAATCATTAGAATTAAATAAATGTTGTCTAGTATATTTTTGTCGACTTTTTAATCTTCTAATTTGATGTTCTCCAATTTTAAAATTTTTAATTTTTGAATTTAAATTAACAAATTCCCCCTCTTCTGTTTTTGTTTTAATAAAAATTTCATTTGGAGCAGATAAACTTTTATGATCATTTGTATTCATTAATAAGCACTAATTAATTTAAATTTAATTTTAAATCATAAATGGAACTTTTTCATAAAAATTAAATGTTTCTTTATACTGAAAGAGAAAATTTTAAAAAATTTTTAGTAAAATAAAGAAAACTTGAATATATAATTTCAAAAATAAAAAGGCGTAAATGGGCACCTTTATAAAGAAGGAAATTAAAAAAGATATATAAATAAATACGAACATTGAAACTAGCGATTTGTTTGATTCCGAAAAAAGAAGAAAAAAATTTTATGAGGAAAAAGGTCTGTTTTATTAGAAGTCGTTTCAATTTTATATATAAAGATTTAAAAGAGTTTGCGCGATAAACAACTTAAACAAAAAATTATTTGGAAAAGTTATAGAATAAAAGAAGACAACAAATTTAAAAATAAATTTAAAAAATAAAATATACGTAAAACTTCTATTAACTACCCTGGGTCATTATTGTTTGACCTTCCAATGGAGGGAGTAATTAATCGAGAGGGGGTAATTATACGAGGTTTGAAATTTGAACGTGTTTTAGAGCATTTGATGTGGGCAGCATAATTGTTTCAATCTATCGCTGGATGGAGTAATTAATAGAAGTTGGGGAGGGCAATTAATACAGGTTTACGGTAATTATTAAAAATAGCTGTAAAATTTAGAATTATCTAAAGGAAAAATTATTTAATAAACAAATTAAAATATATCGAGAATTAAAGTAATAAATATATTATTTATTTGTGTATTTATTCATTGTTAAATTTTTAAATAAAAAAATATGTAACACAAAAGAAAAAAAATATTTAAGTACAAATATGAATAATCGGACTAATATTTACATATGTAAAGAAAAAAATAAATAAAAAAGATGGGAAGAGAGTAAAGTTTTTTTAAAGGTTAAAAATATTTTTTAAAGATTTATTTAAATTAATTTATTTCCTTATTTAAAACTTAAAAATCTCTGTGTGTATTTAAACAAAAAAATCCGTGGCAGGTTGTACCGGAATCATAATTATTTTCTTTTCATTTTTTCTTGGAAAGCATTAAATATTTATTATGTTATCAAGCGGCAAAACAATAGATTTTTAGAAAGTCCCCCCCCCCTTCCCTTTTAAAAAGTCTTTACTGTCCACTGGCCCAAGAAAAATGCGCACAGCAAATGTGGTGAAAGTGTGGGAAGAGGAAATGGTAAAAAAGGAATGAAAGATTAAATAAAGGAATTGTTTTAAGTATGCAACAGACTTTATAAAGATTTTTTGTATTTAATTAATAAAAGATTGGGAAAAATTACTGGTGAATGATTGAGATACTAGGAAAATAGTTATTAAAATAATAAATTAATTACTTTAATTATTTAAAATAAATGACCAAAAAAATAATGTATAAAGCTTAAAGATACAGAATTATTGTTTTAAATTTAATAGAGTAAAATTGTTTTTTAACTCTTATAAATATTCAGAGACAAAACATAAAATCTATTTCTGGAATTTTAAATTAGCAGTTACAAGTTTAAAGCATGTATATACATACTGAATTAGAATCTATTATTAAGTATGTATGTAACTTTCTAATAAGTCCATCCATTGTTTAAAAATAAGTTCTAATTGCAAATTACTTTTCTAAAAATAAAATTTTTTTAAACTTTATTAATTCCGCAATAAAACAGTTGCGGGCAGCAGAATGGTTTATGTAGTTAACTCCTTCTTGTAAGTCAAAATAGAAGAATAGAAAATTAAAAAATTCTGAGGAGTAAAGTAAATGAAACACAAAGTAAAGAAGCAAAAAGGAAGCAAAAAGAGTAATCCTCTATTAAAAGTTGGCTTTTTTACTCTAAATAAGGGCATATTTGTACGTAGAAATTTTTTTTGAATTAATTGCGTTTCGAAATAGAATATTGGAGAAATACATATATAAAAATAAAACAGAAAAATTAGTTTGAAGTCCTTTCCTATGGGAAAACATCAAAAATGGACATTCAATTTTTTGCTATTTTGTTTTTGCTTTTGTTATATTAAATATTTTAGTTAAAGTATTAAATTACAAGTATTTTTACATATAAGATTGAAAATTATTCAATAAAAATATGCTAAAATTACTAATTAACGAATTTTAAAAAATTAATATAGCCAGTTTAATTTAGGTATTTATTAAAGCATTTTAAATACTATAAAGATAAAATAAAAGAAATTTTATTTAAAAATTAGTCAGAATTTAGCTTAAAAATATCGAAAAAATACATATTTCTGTAATTAGATAGAAACATTTAATCAAATAAAGATTGAAAGAGTATTTGTAAATATCAAAAAATAAAAAATTGTTTCATTTAAATAACAATAAATTTAAGTGACATTTTTAATATTTTCACCTTTATTTGTCATTAATTAGAGATTAATAATCTAAAAAAATTTTTAAATTATTTATTAAATAGTCTTTTATTTAGTAATAATTTTAAGCAATTTTTTTGAAGAAAAAAAATTAAAATAAAAAAAAGGAGGAATTGCATGGCAGTGTAAAAAATGGGTAAATTTAAAGGAGATGAATGAATGAGTGACGGATTGAGCAATAAACCTCAGCTCATGTCCATCAAATGAAGGTTAAAGTAAAATAGAAAGTAATTTTTATAAATAAATATATTTTAAAGGAAATTAAGAAACAAAATAAATATTTTTTGTTTAAATAAATTTTTGTAAAAATTAGGTAAATGTGATAATGCGTTGCATAATAATACCAAAATTCGTAGTTGTATTCAAACGTAGGCTAATTTATTATTACTTAATTTTTGTCTATACATACACGTACGCGTATGAGAATTTTGGTAGATTTATCCTCAAAATTGTAAATAAGTTCACAAAAATTTTCATAACTCAAAACTCCTCTATTAATATTCAAATTATCTATTTAGTCAATAGGTCGACTAAAAAATTAGTTATAATTTTTATTTAATATCAGAAATAAGTACATTTCTTATAAAAAATAATTAACTAAATTAACTAAAATATCCATCCCAATTACGTAATTTTTGTCTAATATAGTCTTCTATTTATTAATTATTTTATTTATTACAACAAAAAATCTTTCCTTATTTGACGATGAATGAGGGATGGAATAAAGATTGAGAATAATAAAAAATAAATGAAAATGAGAGATTTTGATTTAAGTGGAATGGTTTAATATATTTACATATTGAGGGTTATTTTATGGACATGTTTGTATTGTTTAATATTTTTGTTGTCATATTTTTTGACAATTATTTATTTGTTTGTGTGCCTATTTTTACAGAAACAATATCCTTTTATTATAACATCACTGATACAGGTTAGCTTTAGGTCAGCTAAAAATTTTCGAAGTCTTTTTTCATTTTGGAAAAACTCGCTAGAAGGTCCGATCGAATCATTTGATCGTTATAAACAAAAAAATTTCAGACATCAAGATAGGTATTGGGTTAATTGTTTGAAAATAAAATAATTATTATTAAAAATTCTACTACTTAAGGACCAAGGGTGGCGCTCGTCTCGTGTCTCGTGAATTTCGTATTTTGTGGCACTTGCGCCACCCCTGTTAAGGACCTAATTGTGGGTAAAATTTTTAAATTTTAAATACTGTTCTAAAAAATATTAAATGTCCCTCAAATTACTTTTTCCAAAAATATATACAAACAATTTATTTTTTACATATTTTTTACAAAAATTAAAAGCAATACATACAATAAAACTACACAAAGCAAAAGACACAATAACAAAATAATAATGGGCTAAATTCAATATTTATTTAATCGTCTATTTGATCACGCCACTTAAGTTTATTGATGTCCGAACTAGTATCATGGCATATTTGTTTAAACATTTTATCCTCATTTCCATTACTGCAACACACAAGAATGCTATTCCCATCATCATTCACGTAGAACATTCCCTCAATGAAATTGTTGAAGCATCTATTTTGTGTACTAGGCAGAAAACGTCCAACCCAAGTGTCACGTTCCCCATCTTCTCGAATACTATGTTCCATTCCTTGGTTAAGAGCAAAGTTTGTCCCATTTTCTTTATATTCGGGTTGACAAAAGTAGGCCTTTTCTGCTTCAACTCTCTCCCCGATATAACAGGCACGAAGTGCCCTAAGGGCTCGATGAATTCGTTCGATTCCTACGGTGCGCTCTAGTAGCAATGGGATATCATAACGGCAACCAGTCTGGAAAGTAAAAAAAATATTTTTCTTTTTAATGTCTTTGCTTGATTACATACCAAGTACAACAACCTTCCTCTCTTCTTATTTTCAATAAGGAACGCAGGAAATTCCCATCCGAGATTCTCTTGTTCGTAGATGAAGAAACAACCTGAAATTGAAGCAATAAAAAGATTTTCGATATTAATTTTTTCTCACCCGGTTCTGTGCAATTCCTTTTCTTCCCATTCCCTCTCGTTGCAAGTGCAAGATCATAAAGTTTTGCAGTGATAGGGCACTCGTGACTTTTAGAAGGATCCACCTTTTCGTCCGCTTCTTCTTCTTGAATTTTTGGGGCCTGGTTTACCATGGTAGTTGGAGGTTGGTTTGTCATAGTAGTTGGAATTGTAGTTGACGAGGTTAGAGCTGGATTTGTTGCAGAAATATCCTTTGTGTTGTTTGCCGCGTATGTAATATCTCTCAGCAAAAGAACAACCAATGAGATGAACACGAAGTTTAAGCTTGCCCACATATTTTTGAAGAATATTGAAATGATTTGATAATTTTGTAAAGGAGTTGAGATCGAAACAGAACATGTTCCTTTTATAGTAGCAGAAGGGCACAAAAAATTTTTTTAATTCTTTTATTCCATTCTTTTCTTATGCCTTTTAACTAAAAAACTTTTTTTAAGTATTAGTAAGTAAAATTTTATGTAGATAAAAGGTTGTTTTAAAAAAAAAAGTACGAAAATATGTGCAGAAAAATATGTATGTATGTATGTAATTGCCCAAAAATAACAATTGCGTCATTCGGGGCTAATAATAATCCTTCAAACTCTTGCCAAAACACCTAGACTGCTAAATATAGATTTTGGAGCATTTTTATGGTCAGCCTTTATTTTTTAAAATGGAGAAATTGAGGTTTTGAAACAAGAATAATTTCCCTACATTATTTTTAAAAACTTCTCCTCAGGTCCAATAATACTTCAAGAATAATAATTTTTAGTTAACGATTTATATGCTTGAAAACAATTATTTTACATTAATTATTCTTACTTTCATTTCAATTATATTTCTGGTTTTATTCATTGGAACTATAACTATTCTTATTAAAATTTACTTTATTTATCAAAGAAGAGGCCTCCATCCGAACCATGAGGCTAAGACAAATTCTGATTATTCAAGAAGCATTCATCAGAGAAAAGAAGGCATACAAGGCCAACAAAATACTAAAACAGTTCACCCAATTAACCACCCTTTAAGTAAAGTTTCTATCCAACAAGGAGAGATTGAACCAATTTCTGGAATTATTTTAGTCAATCCAACACCAAAGGCAGCAACTCCTTCACAAACTTCAATCCCTAGAATTGAAGTAAGCAAAACATCTCAAGGAACTAATCGAGTTATAAATAACGGCGGACAGCAAATAAATACTGGTAGTAACCAAGAGATGAATTGTAAGAAGATTATTAATGTAAGACTTGAAGAATTTATTTAATCAAGGTGAAAGCTTAAAAGAAAGTATTGCCAGTAGTAGCATTATAATTGGACAAGATGATGGAATTGAGATAATAAATTCAAATACTTCCAGCAATTCGGCAACTCCTTGTTGTTTGGAAGAACAAATGTTGAGTGAATTAAGACATGATAATGTTGGACTAGTAAGAAGAAAAGTGAGGAAAATTATAAAATATACATACTAAATGTCCATATTTTTAAAATTATAAAGGAATTCAAGTCAGCTGTGTGGATAAGTAACAATAATGGTGTTGATGACAAATAATAATTGAAATTAAGTTTACTCATTGTGTAACGCGTGAAAATTGTTGATTTTTCGGACAGCCTTGAAAGTTTTTTCCACTAATTTTTATTGAGCTTTTCGTAATCGTAATTAGTAACACAAAATTCGCCGTAATTCATAATTAAATCTAATGTTGCTATACTAACTCTTTACTAATTAATTGTTTTACCTGGCACTGCTGATTCGTCCCAATGTACAAAAAGCGCGGATTCGTCCCCCTGAACAAAAATTGGGACGAATCCGCGCTTTATGTTCAAGGGGACGAATCCGAGTGGACCGAATCCGCTTGGGACGAATCCGCGCTGGGACGAATCCGCGCTGGGACGAATCCGAGTGCAGCCGTTTTACCTACATAGTATTTTATTTTGTGGCATTTTGTCGTTTTGGCATTTTGTCACATTGTTACAAACAAATAAATTCATTGAAGGAAAATTTGATTTCGATGAGTAATAATTATTTGTTTTTCCTCTCACTATAATTCCAAAAAATTTATTTCTTTCTATTAAATTTTTTATTATTTTATCCATTGTTTTTAAATAAATTAAGAAATTTTTTTATTTTTCATAAATTGTTGAATGGATTTTAATTTAAAAAAGCTGGTCAACGATGCCGGAGGTCTTTTTAACCGCGCTAGGCAGTTGACAGAAGAGAAGTTACTTAATGCTGAACGTACAGAAATCGACCCACAATTAGAGCAATTGTTACAGCGTGTAGATGCTACTGAATTTCATATGACAAAATTGTACTCTGCTTTAGAGACTTATCTGCAGCCTAATCCTGGTCTGTTTGCTTTTCTTTAAATTATTTGGATACCCTTCCTTATTCTGTCTTATTTTTTTAATTTGATTTTCCCTTGCGAGTTTTTTGGAGTTTTTAACGTTTTTCTGGGTTCAATATTAATTTCTGAATTTTTAAGTCCAACAATATTTTCATTATTTTTTAGCGGTTCGTGTTGGTAACGCAATAAATGAAATGTTAGAACGAAGAAATTCAACAGAGCAACGTGTTAACAATTTGGAATATTTGGGTTCTGCAATGTTAGGAGCTGGGCAAGCATTTGGTTCTGACACAAATTTTGGCAGTGCCCTTCTTAAAATGTCTACGGCAGAAATGAAATTGGGTGCTGCAGAACGCGAAATGATGCAAACAACTTCAACACAGACTTTGGCTCCAATTAAACGATTTCTTGAAGGAGATGTTCGGAATATTTTGGTTTATTTTTAATTTGTTATCTTTTTAAAATTATTTTAAATTTAGAAGGAGCGGCGTGTACTTCAAAACAAACGATTGGATTTGGATTCCGCTAAAGCTCGTCTTAAGCGTGCACGGTCGCTTGAATCTCAAGCAAGCGTAAGTTTAATACTTTAATTTTTGAGTAAATTAATGGAAATTTTTTTAATTTGGGATATTTAAAGGGGGCTGATTCTGGATTGATTATTGAACAGGTTGGGATTGGTGTTTGTCTGTTTATTTGTTTTGTTTATTTTGTCAGTCTTTTTTTGGTTGATTTTTTCGTTAGGCATAAAATTTGCCATTAAACTTCTTCCCTTACTATTAGAAGAGTCTAAAATAACTTTTCAAAGATTTGTGTTATTTTAAAAGCCTCATTGTCAAACTTCCGAAACCCTGATTAGATTTAATATTTCTTTTTCATTGTGAGGCCTTAATCCTTTATGTTTAAGGTCGAAGCTGATCTTCGTGTGGCTCAGTCTGAATATGATAGACAACTTGAAGTTATGCGTATTTTGATCGAATCAGCAAATTCGGCTCAGGTTTATTTTTATCTTAAAATATTCAGTCTATTTCAAAATCATAGAATCAACATTTGAAAAATTTGATGGAATTTGTGGATGCTCAAGCAAAGTTTTATGAAAGTGCACATCAACATATGGCTGATTTAAAACGGGAACTGAGCACGCGGTTCGATCTTTTATTTAAAATGGGGATATTCTTATTTTTATTTCAAGGGAATATTTTAAAATTTAATTTTTTTTCAGTTCAAATGGAGGACCGATGATTTGAAGACTTATTGTTAGGAATAAAATATGTAATAATCAAAATGTAATATCCAAAAATATATTAATTTTCGAAATTTATAAAGGCGCTACTGGAAACTTGTGTACGAAAATTTTGACAGTTTTTTGATTAAAATAGTATTCAAGTTCCGTGCGCAAAATATAAGGTCCATCTATTTATGTTAACCAGAATTTTTATTAAAATTTCTAGATGCCTTTTTAATAAATAAAGCTTTTCATGCCAACTTTTGAATTTTTATTCATAAAATTATAGAAAATACGACTGGGAATTTACAAGAAAATTACATTTCTGGGGAAAATATAGATCGCTCATTAAAATGTTTTAACGAATACAGCTTGATAAAAATTAATCACTAGTAACAATTATTAACTGTAAAAATAAAAAGAACTAGAAAAATAAAGGGAAAATAAAAAGATAATGAATAAAGTTTATTGTTAGATAATTTATTTTTACTAAACGATTCTCGACATTTAATCTGAAAATAATCCAGAAATTTCTGATGGAATATAACTAATCCAGTCAATTTTTAATTAAAGGGTGTAATCCCCACACTAAATATCTAACAATTGAAAGAGAAGAACGAAAACATGGGGTTGAAAGCTTTTCATCGTTAGCTCGCTGAATTATTTCCGTTGCTACTGCTATTAATATTTCCACCAACGCTGGCTTCTGGCCCTGGCAATGCAACAATATCATCACTTGGAGGTTCTATTTTTGGAGAAATCTTTAGTATGTTGTTGCCCTTTGGATTTAGTCCAGCGTTGTTGCTCTCGACATCAACGCCAATTGAGGATAATGATCCGATACCATTTTGCTGTTGTTGATATAAGCTGGTGATTGTAGTGGGAGCTAAAATAGAAAATTTCTTAATTTCATTTTGGAACATGAAAAATTTTTTAGTTCTTTAATTCCCTAATATTCAACACATCCACCGAAAGACGATATAAATATTGTTTACCGTTATTTTCTAGACGTACAATTGACGCCACAATCGAATCCGTGATATGCTGATGCTGGCAAGGTAATACAGAAACGCCTGATGAGGTTAAACAATTAGCATTTGCTGGAGAAGCACCCCCAGATGGCGACATATTAACCAAATGCAAAAGAACTGTTCGATTTGGACCAGGCGGGCAAACAATGCAAACCATTTCAGATATTTGACAAACACGAAAAAATCCAGCTTGACAAGCTTTAGTTAGAGATGAGCAAATACATCCAACAATTGGAATATCATCAGGTGAATCAGGATCTGGAACAAAACGCCGGTAATTTCGGATTGTATCGAGTGAACAAGGTAATAATTTAGAGACGATAACACTTTTGCTGACCTTAATTAGAGAAATTATAAGTAAAATAATAAAGAAAAAGGATAAAAATCAATAAATAGTTTTCTGTGGGTATACCCCAACCTACCGCTGAGGCTCTAACTTCGTTCAAAATTGTCAAATCCGAGAACGACCTGACATAGTTGATTCAGCTCGTTGAGGTGCATCGAGCCATACCATGGCGTCCCGAATTCGACAATTATAAATGGAGTTATAGCCTCGGCGGTAGGTTGGTCTGCTCCCGATTACTCTTAACAGGTTTATTTCAAACGTTCTCGCTAAAAATTAGGAATGGAACATTTACAAATTAAAACACCAAAAAATTTAAAAAATTATCCTAGTTACCCCACTACCTATTTAATTTAAAAAATCGACTTACCAATCTTCCATACAATAAAGCAAAAGCTCCACTATTTGTTGCTGAATCAGGTTTGATTTGTGACAGAAATAATTCGGGAATATTGTTCGGAATTATAACCCGTTGAAAGACAATTGGCTGCATAGAAACAAGATGACAACGAACATACGGGCAAAGCATTTGATCCGGAACAAGTAAATGCTCCAACTAAAAAATTAAAAATTAGTTAACTTTCATTAATTAAATGCGCTTAAATAATTCTCCTTCAATAAAATAAATAATTTTCCTTCATAAATTTTGACCAATCGATAAAATGTTTTTTCAATTACTTTAGAAATCGATATAAAAAATCTAATTAATAGATTAACTTTAATCAGGCGGAGGGGAATTTCCAGGGGAGGGAAATTTCCCTCTTGCCCCTCCCCCCGAAAAAAATCCTGGCTACGAACCAAGCTTTGACTACAGTTAAATTAAAGTCCATAAATTTAAAAACGAAATTTTATCGATTAATCACCAAAAAACTTTAAGAAAAAACGAAAACCTCTTGAGCTGTCCCAGCATTATTATTATTTTGTGAAGATGCCCTACTTGTAGTTGCTACTTGTTGTTGATCTAAATTTCCCGCAGTTGCACTCTTTACCGACTCTCTTTCATTTTCACCCCTAATTTGTAATCAATTTATTTTTTTAAAAAATAACTAAAACCTATTTCTGATGCGCCTTTTTAATTGTTCTGCACTAATTATAGCATTTATAGTTCTTGAATCTAAAATACATTTATCTGTTAATGACATTGAAGCATAACAAGGATGTTTTGGCAATTCTTCTACAACAACACTGAAATTTAAAAAAAAAATCTAAAAAATTCCCAAAAAGAAAAGTTCGAAATACGGACACTTCTTCGGTACTTTAGTTTCCCATCCTCAGTCAATTTCTTTGTTAAAGCTGACCATTTCGTACGTCTTTAACAAAAAA